GCTCGGGCAGCCCGGCTCTTAAACAGAGCCGAAGAGTCGGGGAGGAGCAGAGCCGCCATTTTCCCGGACATGTTTGGCTTTTTGGCAATTCCCCCCGGACGGGGGTTTGACTGCCGAAAAGCCGGACATGTCCGGGAAAAAGAGGACGTATGGTAACCCTACCAAAGGGAGCCCCCTGCTTCTCTCTCACTCACACACAAGCAAACAGAAGCTGTTTGTTTGACCAGATAAGCAGCCGTTCTCTGAAATGGAGCTTTGAAACTGCACTTCCGCGTCCTGAGTTAACAACAAAGACAAGAGCGGCCACTTCAGTTAAGGGAATTATGGGGCATTTCTGGAGGTCAGTTAGTGGATAGTATTGTTACTTCTCGTTTACACTGGAGCTGCAGCGTCTCAGCCAATAAGCAACAGCTGTTAATCCTCTCGGGGAGGTGGAGTACCAAGACCGCTCTAGCCAGGGAGTCAGAGCGCTCTCCGTGCCTTCCCAGTGTGGACAGGGAGTAAGGTAGAGCGCTCTGGGAGGCTTTATTGCAGTATAAAGTGCAAGTGTAGCCAAGGCCTTACACTCAGGGTGTGCCTTTTTCTCCTAGGCCACATGGCCTCATGCACTTATGTGACTCATTCCCCAGGTTTCATAATGCTGCTTACAAGCCTGGCTCTGTTCAGTGTACTCCTCAGAAAAGGATCACATTAACACCACGGTAACTATTCCCACCAGAGTCATCGTTTCTCTTACCTGGTGGTTGAACCCAGATCAAGTGAGAGCAGAGATGACGTATGGGACAGTACGTAGGTCACATGCTCCCCAGATTTCTCCCAAGGTTTGTCGGTCCCACTTGGTCACATGATGTGGGCAGGCCCGGTCCCTGTGGCATCTGCTAGAGCCGGCAAGCTGTGAGCCACGCCCCATCGGGAGAGGTAGGAGCAACAGCTGGGAGCTGCAGGGAGGGGCCCCTTACTTTCCGGGTAGGGAGACAGGTTAAGGTGGGAGACTTGCCTGGGAGGGGGCATGACTCAACCTGTTCTGGGGGTGGCCGTACATTTAAATTGTAACCCCTGCACTATCAGCAGGTACGGGTCGTCTCTGAGTGAGAGTGGGCTTCCCCTTTGTCACTCCCACCTCCACAGTCACCATTGTAACAGACTCATCCCTTATGGGTTGGGTGTTCACCTGAACAATCTTCCTTTCTGCAATATATGGGCATTCTATCTTTATTCATCCTACAACAGTGAGGCTTATGAATGGCCTAATTAGAACCTTTCTGCTAATCATCAAACCTACACCTCAGTGGGCCCTCAGTCTTGTACTGTCAGCACTCACTGGGCTGCCATTTGAACCCTTGGCAACATGTTCCACCTGTCATATTATTAGTGCCTATTACCTCAGATGGTGGGCAAGATCGGAGCCCTCATGGCAGACCAACTGTATACTGTTTTTTCACAAGGAAAAGGTCTTTCTTTGATTGAATCCTTAATTTCTCCCCAAGGTTATTTTGGAATTTCATGGCAACCAAGCTATCCACTTACCTGTTTTCTTCCCAAAACACCATACCTCTGTTAAGGAAGCTTCAGTCCCTTGACATCAGACACACCTTAGCATTCTACCTGCAGAGGATCAAATCTATCAGGAAATCTCTTAGGCTCTTTCTTACAAAGAGTTCACGAGGACAAACTATATCTTCTAAGAGGATCTCTAAATGGGTTTGTGTGTGCATCATTGTGTGCTACCAATTGGCACATATCCCTCCACCTGACAGGGTAAGGGCACTTTCCACCAGCACACAAGCTGCCGCTTCAGCATCACTGCACAGAGTACCATCTCTGGACATATGCAGGGCGGCTAGCTAGAGTTAAACATTGCACGCAAGTTCAAGCCTCTGCTGCGGACACAGGCACATCCTGAGTGGGAACTGCAGTAGTTCAAGTATCTTTCTTGCCAGCATCCTTGCACCCCCCTCCAGTCTGAATACTGCTTGTCAGTCATCCACATGTGGAATACACAAAGGGACCAGCACTCGAAGACGAAATAGAGGTACTTATCTGCAACTGGAAGTTCTTTGAGGTATGTGGTCCCAGTCTATATTCCAGTAGCCACCCCCTCTGTCCCTTTGGATCTTTTTGGATTTGTAAGAAGAGGAACTGGAGAGCCATTGGCCTGCACCGCCTTTTATGTCCTCGGTCTGGAGCATGAGATGAGCTCCTGTGCATGTGTGGGCCAGTGGACGCTGCTTGTTAGAATTTCCAGAGTTGGGCGCATGGCTTGCATGCGCACCAACTTGTGGAATACACATAGGGATCACCTATCTCAAAGAACTTGCAGTTACAGGTCAGTAACCTTTATATATTTTTGAAGCACACTCATGAGAAATCCTCTAGAGGGCAGTCTTTGCACAGCTGTTGATCTAATTGTGTTTAAATAATTGCCTAAAAATATCACCTGCTTGTGTTCTAACAAGTTCTGTAAGGGAGGGTGGAGTCATTGGGTCAAAATCTACCCTGGTTCTGCTCATGACTCCTGCTGAAGTCTTTTTCCAAGGACAGAATTTGCCACATTGTTAGAATTTGGGTACCAAAAGCAACTTAATTATAACTTCCAAATTGAAGGAGGACCCTACACACTCTGATCCTGTTCCTTTGTGTATATGATGACATGGTATGTGACAAAATAAGAGGCTTAGAGAACTTTACATTTCATGGAGGGGGATGAAATTTAAAGAATTTAGGAAAGTTAGGGAGCATCATGGTAGTGCTATTCTAGTATGCAGAAGTCAAGAGACTGTATTGAAGATGGCACCATTTAAAATTCTTCAATTTTGTGTTTACATCATCATTGTTACTGTAGGGTGCAATTAGGAATACTTCATTTGTATAACTTAGATCTTTGAAAAACTCTGGTCAAGAGGAGAGGTGGTAGATTTGATATCAAATGCCAGAGGGCAGATTTAACACCTATGCTTTAATCTTTTGTTTCAGCCTTCAGATCCTTGCACGATTGATGACAGCTAAATTCTTGCATAGGGAAATCAGAGAGAAAGGAGGTGCTTATGGAGGAGGTGCTACACTCAGTCACAGTGGCATATTCACTTTCTATTCTTACAGGTAACACTGTGTGTCCCCTGTAGAGTCTGTCTATAAAATGTAGCCATTGTCTCGGCATATGCAGCCATCATTTTAGACTCCATTGAACTTTACCTGCCAGGACTGTAAGGACAAGAAAATGAGGCTGAGATAGAGATGAGGAAAGAGGTGGCTTACCACTGACATCACTGAGATCTGTCACTTGGCTTCTGGGTTTCTCCCCTTCTCCCTGCTCCTCCCAGGATTCAGTAAAATGCCTCTCTCATCCTAGGCTTCACTTCATCCAAGCTTGGTGGTTAGCTGTTACCCTGTTACCTCCTTATTCAGTGTATGTGGTGACTAATTTTACCACCAGCCTCAACTGTATGCCAGCTTCAGCTTGTTTCTTCCTGGCCTGGCAATGGGGATGGGTCCTGGCAGAAGAGAGGGAACTTAGGCATTTTAAGAACAGTAGTTGGGGGAGGTAGTGCGGTTCCTGGCATATAGATCTAAACTGGCTTCTCCCAAAAGCCCTGGCCTCTCCCCTACCTATCAGAACCAGAGAGGACTCCATATGGGGTGATTGGGCTGTACACCTCCAAGGAAGACTTGATTACAGCAGAAAGAGGTGCTGGTGACATAAAGAAAAAGTGTAATCTATTTAATTAGCCCTGAACAATTGTTCCTGTCTGGTCTTGAGAGACACATTATTACTGAAGCTTCTGCTGTTCATCTTAGACTTGAAACAGAGATCCTAACCACGTGGTAACTAACTCCATGACTCTTCACCAGAGATGGGGTATATGCCCACTGTCCTAGCCTAATTAAATAATTATAATGGGTTGCATGCAGCTAAGCACAGCTCCCACAGAAGGCTTTGGGCTCAATTGAGTGGTGTAAGCATTTGTGTCAGCCACACAGCAGGTGTGAGTTACGACATGGAGTAATTTTCACCAATTTGGACCTCAGTAGGTTTGCAAAATGGGTGTAACAGGCTGAGGGACAGAAAGTGATTATAGCAGGAAAAGCAATTGTACAGGCAGGTGTAACCTCTGCCCACTCCACCTTATGCTATACCATCTCCGGAACTCATGGACCAAATTCATCCTTGGAGTAAGCAAGCATAACTGATATTGATACTAATGAGAGTAGCACCTGCTTATGCCAGGCACTAAATTTGGTCCCCAAATAATATATCACTGTAGATTTTATTTGTTTTGCACACCTGCTGAATGCCAAATCTGTGCAAGTTGCACTGATTTAGCACTTGCATTTAATTGTATCTTTTTCATGATCAGCTTAGAAACTATTTACATCACTACTGAATTTGGCCCACTCTGTCTACCTACAGTCTGCTATAACTTCTGTTGAATAAAATACTCCTTATCTCGAACTACTGTATAGTGTTTCTATGTGCTGTATGAACGCAGCTGCCTTCCTCTGGTGTGATATGTGTGCATGTGCGTATGTGTGTGGCCTAGATGTAGTTTATAGAATTTGGTGAGTGATTCGCAATCTTTGAATGAAAGGCAGTGGGTTTTAAAACAAACGTTGTATTAAAAGTTGTACAGACTCAGGTTGTCGTCTGTAATACAAAAGTAATTCCTTCTCATTCGTTAGGGATCCAAATTCTACAGCAACCTTTTCAACTTTTGAAAAAGCAGCTGAATGGGCTCAGTCTGGGGAATTTGCACAGCAAGACATTGATGAAGCCAAGCTTGCAGTGTTTGCAGCTGTAGATGCTCCTATCGCTCCTTCAGACAAAGGTATGTTCTTCGTTCCCCGGCATGGGAATCCAGTGTTCTCGCTAGGCTTAGAAGGAAGTGAATGATTCCTTCTCTGCTCATCTAATCCCTTTCATAAGCTCATGTTTGGCATCAGTGGATTTAACGTAAGGATTCGTTTCTATAAAACAGCGAGATTGCACTGCTCACCTCGAAGATCCCGTGTGATGTCTTTCCACTGAAATGTTCTTATTGCTGCTTGGGATCATAATATTGTCATGGGAGAATAGGAGGAACTTAAAGAAATAACTAACCCTTTAACCTGTCTTTCTCAGCCTAAACAAATTGCACCTGTTCTAGCACATAGAAAAATCATAAAGGTCTATTGGTTAAATGGAATACTTGGAAAAGTGTATGGATTATATACCTGTTTTAGCCAAATGCGTACACTGATCCTGAATTTGCTTAACCTCGCTGCTTCACTTTACCTATTTTTAGAAATGGGGAAAGCAAAAAGTTGTTTGGTGCTTTGAAGATATTTAATGAAAAGTACTAAGTGTAAATAGTAAAATTAGCTGCATGTTTGGATGCCATGATGAATGGTTCCTCCCTTTTTTTTTTTTTAAAGAGCTTTTTTTAAACACAGTTCAAAATAATTTGCAGTTTGAGAGAACAGCTCCTCCCCTGCTGCTAAATCCAAACCAAAACTTAAAGTTAAGCACCTACTCCACCCCTTAAGTATAAATAAAGGAACATGCATTGATTTTGAATCTTAATGTTTGTAAAGTGTTAACACAAGCAAGGCCATTTAGGTTATTACATAAAAAAAACTTCAAACATTTTTTACTTTTCCACCATTCGTGGGCTTTTGCTGCCTGTTACCATGAACAATGAAAACAGGCTAGGCACTGTCAATTTTCAGGTGCTCATATGTGAACAAAATGCTTTAATGTCACATGCTGGTGGCTTGTCAAAGGGTAATGATTCTCATCCTTTGGTGCTTGATCTGCACTCCTATGCAGTGCACAGGCTAGTCTGGAGCTGCTCACACTCTAACTGGTATCAGGCAAAGTTAGTGAAGTACTGAAAATAGCAATGTTCATAAGGACTGAGGAAATGAACGAGGCTGCCTCCTAGCTCCTCCAGTGAGATGGAATTTAGAGGAGAGGAAAGAGAATACCCTTAAAATCCCTCCCAGTAGCTAGAAGGGGAGAGAAGAGACAGTTGAATGGAGCTGTAGAGCCATAAATGTATGGTGATTGCTTAATGTTCCCCCTTATTGGGTCATAAGTTGCAGTGTCAAGAAGTCCATCTGTGATTATTTTTAACCTCTTAGATCACTGAAGTGATTCTTGTTACAGGATTTCTTGTGAGTATATAGAAGCATTTGTTTGCAGAATTATGTGGACCGTATATAGAAAAAAAGGTGGGTCAGATCTTTGTCTTAGCAGCATTGACTAAAGCTGGCTGCAAAATTCTGACAGAACGGCTTTCCATTGGATAACACAGTTGCTAAAATCAAAACCTTCATGAAATCATTCTGAGTTCACCAAAAGTCTATTTGGAGAAAAAAGGGAAAAAGTTCTGAATAATTTGGGAATAAATTTAGATTTTTTTCTCCTTCCAAATGGCTTTTTGGTTCATTTTTTTGCATTTTGTATTATATAAGTTCAAATCAAAACTTTTTGATTTTGTCAAAACATTTTTTTTTAAATTCTCCACAAAATGGAACGTCCATTCTCTGCCCATCTCTAGCCTTGACGCTGGTTAATAATTAGAAGTTTGTGCTGTACTTTTTATGACGAACGTAGAATTGTTTAGCTATTAACTAGCTGCAGACTGTATTCATTCCTCTCCCAACCTATCCTGCTTTGGGGTACTCTGTGCATTTATCCTTCGATGCCTAAGACTCAGTACACTTACCAAGTCACATTTTTACTTCTAGGGATGAATCATTTCTTGAATGGTATCTCCGATGAGATGAAACAGAGACACAGGGAGCAGCTTTTTGCTGTCAGCAGTGATCACCTTATTGATGTGGCAAACAAGTGAGTCTGTGCTCATTTTAGAAATGCAAGTAAACCCAGATCCCTTGTAAGAGTTTCAGATTAAAATCTGTCTGATGTAAAATAGCTGGTAAAGGTTTGAATTATTACATTTCTCATGACCACTGTCATGTAATTTTTTTTCTGTACCTGCATTCATATCATCACTGTGCCTGTGAAAGGAGTATTGCCGTTTTCCATTTAGCTTTTTAGTCAACATTTTAATTTGTTTGTGAACTCTGTTGAAGTTCTTAATTTGCTGAGATTGCTGTTCTGCTTCTGACTGGATCAGAAACGGTTTGTTTATTTTTTCAGCTCAAACAAGATGGTTCCAGATTTAGTCCCTTTTGTGTGGAGATGAATTTGCTTTTCTAGACTCTGCTTTTCTAGACTCAGTTCTACCATTTTTTGCCTGCTTATAGGTGTCTAAGGGTACGTCTACACTTACCGGAGGGTCCGGCGGCAGGCAATTGATGTTCTGGGATCGATTTATCGTGTCTGGTTAAGACGCGATAAATCGATCCCGGAAGTGCCCCGGATCGATCCCGGAAGTGCTCGCCGTCGACGCCGGTACTCCAGCTCGGCGAGCGGAGTACGCGGCATCGACGGGGGAGCCTTCCTGCCGCATCTGGACCCGCGGTAAGTTCGGACTAAGGTACTTCGAATTCAGCTACGTTATTAACGTAGCTGAATTTGCGTACCTTAGTCCGAAGTGGGGGGTAGTGTAGACCAGGCCTGTATCAGTGGTTCAAAACCTTTCCAGACTCCTACTCCCCTTTCAGGAGTCTGATTTGTCTTTCATACCCCCAAGTTATGCCTCACTTAACAACTACTTGTTTACAAAATCAGACATAAAAATACAAGTGTCACAGCACATTATTACTGAAAAATTGCTTGCTTTCTAATTTTTCCTATATAAATTATAAAATAAATAATTTGGAATATAAATACTGTACTTAGAGTTCAGTGTATAGCATATAGAGCAGTCTAGACAAGTTGTCTGTATGAAATTTTAGTTTGTACTGACTTTGCTAGTGCTTTTTATGTAGCCTGTTGTAAAACTAGGCAAATATCTAGATGAGTTGATGTACTCCCTGGAAGGGCCCTGCGTACATGTACCTCTGGTTGCAAATCACTGGTATAAAATTGTATACTAAACCATACTGAGTTATATATTACATCAGGTGAATGGGCCACCTGGACTGGGATCTTGTCTCCAATAGGTATCCGATGTTTTCACCTTTCTCTGAATACCTGCTGGGGGAGTGTGTATCACAGAGAAGTTTCTTCCTACTATTGTGTAATTAGTGTCTTTACAACTTTTACCCCATGCAATTTAACTGCCAGTCTTATTCTTATTCATAGAAACATACAGTCCCTTTAAAAGATTAAATGTTTTGTTTACAATTGAGGGATGTTGAATCTCAAGGGACTGCTGTGCCCAGTGCCTCTTAAGCAGGGAGGCGTAAATCATCTTCACGAGTTTGACTAGTGTTCATGCTGTTAATGGGCTAGAATGTTATTTCCTTTTAAGAAAGTGACATCCTGCCCTTGTGTGCTCTTTGGAGTAGCCCTTTGCTCTGCTACCAAGTGTGCACCTCTTTTCTTTTGTATTGTTCTCACCAGTCCCGTCATATTAAGTTAGTTGCCCCAAGTGAGGTTGGGGAGAAACATACAGATGAAAGGGCATAGGGTCTTGAAGAACCACAGTTACAGTAAGTAAGCGATTATTCTTTGTCTTGGCTAAGTGTGTTAGAGTTCAATCTGGGAGAAATAGAGAGATCCACTCACATGGGCAAAAGAGGTGGTAGAGTATGTCAAGTAAAACTGGCATTGCCCATCTGTTCCCCTATTTTCTGTTGCTTAAGTTCAGCACCGAGCTGAAAAATATGAGGACCTGCGCTAACTATGGGGGAAAGGAGAAACAAACACCTTACCGATTTGTTTTCAGATACTTCAAAACAAAAGTTGACTAGCTCAAACCGATCAATTTTAAAACTAGGCATAATGGTACAGGGTAGCCCTAATGAGAATATTTGACATTGGTTGTGCGAAGGTACTGTATAGGTGAAAGGTTTCATCGGAACGTGTCAGGCTGCTTTCAGAATGAGTATAATGTGACTTACACTTCAACAGTTATGTGGTGGCTTTTCATAATTTGTCTCTCTCTTGCAGATACCTTGCAGGTGGGAAGAGCACCCGAGGACTGGCTGTACTAGGCCCAGAGAATCCGCACATTGCCAAAGATCCATCTTGGGTCAAACGATAACATTTGTTACTGAAAATGGCTTAAGAGAAATAAAACAATCCAATTCATAAGTGACTAAGGCACATCAGAATTTTTAATTTTCCTGCAAAGGTCCAAGTGAAAGGTCATTACAACTTCTTTACTCTGCATGCAATAAGCCACTCAGCTCTTTCCTCAAAGAAATTAACTCTGCCAAAGAAGGTTTATCTCTACAACTGTATTGTATTTAAGAATGAAAACTATTTGTTCATCTATGGCTAAAGCAACTCTTCAGTTCCTCCATAAGTATTAACTGCTGTGGCACAAAAATATGGATTTTAATAACTTCTGAATATACAAATTATTTTTTAAAAGCCAAGCTAAGACTTGAATTTTAAAATGTGTTTAGCTTAAATCATGTTTTCTTACAATATCTGTATTTTTAAACCTCCACTGTTGGGCACAAACAGATTTGTTACACCTACACTGGTACTTCATAAGTCTTTCCTAGTGTGTTGAGTTTTCCATAAGTTGCGCATAACTATTCTTGTTACATTGTATTGTGTCTACACTACAACTTACATTTTTAATGATAAGAGTGGCAGTGTTGGATCAAAACATGTCCTCTATACAACTCATGGCTAATAATTGATAGCTACAGGAAGGGGAAAAGGTGGTTTTATTCATAACAGGGCTATTTTGATGGAGCTCCTACCTGTGACCCTGGGCCAGTTGTTCTTCCTCCGAGTAGTGAATGGAATTCTCAGGGTGCTGTTTTTGTCCTTTGTTTACCTTTTGGCTAAGGTTCCACAGCTAAAATGTTGAGACATCCACAATTGTGTTGTGGAGAAAAAACTGCTGTGTCAATGTAACTTAACCATCGTGATTATAACCTGGTTTCAGATGTTTCAGCTGATCACAGAAAACAGTCCTGGGTGTGATTGAGGGTTTTCCTATTGTCTGAGAGAAGCTGAGGTTAGTTAGCATGACTTCTAAGGGTATGTCTATACTGCAGCCTCGAGTGAGCCTCTCAGCATGGGTCAACAGACTTGTTTCACTGGAGCTAGCATGCTAATCATAAGAGTGTGGCCAGTGCAGCTCAGGCTAGCCAGCCAGTTTTGGACTCAGGTGGCTAGCCTGAGCCTCTGCCAGAGCAGCTACATCCACACTATTTTTAGTGTGATAGATCTCGTGAAGTTAATGTAAGTCTGTCTCTCCACACTGGGAGACATGCTTCCTGCTGCAGTGTAGTCTTACCCTGAGGCAGAAGTGAAAGTAAGCTGGTACGCCCCGATACGGCTTACCGGGGCAGCCCGGCTTCCCCAGGTGGCAATTTAAAGGGCCTGGGGCTCCCAGCAGTGGCTGGAGCCCCAGGCCCTTTAAATTGCCGCCAGAGCCCTGCTGTTGGAGCCTTGGGGTAGCGGCAGCAGGGCTCCGGCGGTTATTTAAAGGGCCGGGGCTCCCGCTGCCTCTACTGCCCTGGGCCCTTTAAATAACCACTGGAGCCCCGCCGCCAGTACCCCAGGGCTCTGGGGGCTATTTAAAGGGCCAGGGCGGTAGAAGCAGGGGAGTCCTACTGCCAGAGCCCTGGGGTAGCAGCGGCAGCTGGGGGCTCCGGCAGCGGTTTTAAAGGGCCCGGGGTGGTAGCGGCGGCCGAGCCCTGGGCCCTTTAAACTGCTGCCGGAGCCACCGGCTGCCGCTGCTACCCCGGCGGGGGAGGGGGAGGGCACCTACGGTACAGGGCGGGCTCTGACCCCCCCCCCCCATCCCTGCCTCTTCCGCCCAAGGCCCCGCCCCTTTCGGGGGCCAGAGACGGCCCCAACCCAGCCCCGTACCGGTAAGTCCCTATTTCTACTTTCACCCCTGCCCTAGGTACATCTACACAGCAGCTTGAAAGGTGTAATTCCAGCTCAGTTAAACTTACATGCACGAGGTTGGCTCTAGCACCTAATAAAGGCAGTTTGGTCATCGTGGTTCAGGCTAGCTGCTTGAGTACATCCCCAGAGTCAGGCAGAATCCAACTTGGGTGGGTAGCTTGAGCCACCAGCCATTTCACAATGGCCACACTGCTATTTTTAGCACACTAGCTGGGGCCAAGCTAGCATAAGCTGGGAATCGCATCTCCCAGCTGCCATGTAGACATAACCTAAAGGACACACACAGGGGTAACAGCTTTAGTATTGCATTTAATAGTAATTTTTGGTGTGTTACTTCCTCTCTGGGGGGAGGTGTGTGGGGTAGTTCAAATTAATGCAGCATCATTGTGCAGATGCGGTACAGAAAAATCTGCAGATGCCCTGCTCTTAATCCCTCCCCCTTTTCTACAAGTGGAGAAAGAGCAGTTATTTGTCTCCTTTTTAGAATGCAAATAAAAGTTGCTCCTACTTTCAACAGTGGTGGTCTCCTGTCGTCAGTTGTAATTTATTAGTTTTTAGACAACTTGAAGTCACACAGGTGGTTTGCAACAATACTTTTATTCCACTTTGGATACATAAATTCACTCTGTAACTTGACACAAAACTAGCCTTCTACATATATTCTGAGTATAGACTCTATCTCTGAGATAAAGTGCACTAGATGAATGACTTATCACACTGAGTGCATAGAATTGTGTTAAACTTAAGGATCAGGCCGATAACTGGTATTTTGTAAGTTAGATGCTAGGGTTTGCTTTAAACCTAGGATAATACTGGGCAAGGAACTTGTGTGATGTTTGCATGTCTGAACTCACATAAAGTGCTGGTACAATAATTTAAATGTTACAAACAAAGCTGTAATCAATATTCTAAAGCATTGTTACGCACAACGTAGGTCTATTACAACTTTATCTAAAATAATGGTCTCTTCTTAGATAGCTCCAGTTTCTGCTTCTTTTGGGCTGTGCCTAGCTACATGCTCTAGTTGACCTGAATCTGAAACATCATAGCTAGTCTTGTATTTGGCCAGAATTTTCATCAGAGGTCGAAGTTTCAGCCACCACTGTTCCTTAGGAATTCTGTGCCTGTGCAGAAGATGGGGAGGGGGGAAAAAAAGTCAAAGCTATTCTGTGTAAACGATTCCATTGATGTTATCCCTAAGAACCAAATTCACTATTAAAGTTGGCTTCGTTCAAATTATAAGCAGTTTTATAAGGGCAGTTCTTATCAGCATATATTAATGACCAACTCTGCTGCATTCAATGATTCTTAGGTTCATTTTTGTGAGAGTAATGCTGCCATCTATGCTCATTGACAGGAACGTAGAAAATTAAGTTACTAGTTGGATGCATTTGCTTTTTAGTTTAACAATCTTTTGGAGAGAGGTTGCGGCAGACAGTAAATGATTATCTTGACCTCCAAGTACATCTCCAGCTAGCCTCAGAACATGCATGAATTCCATCTCCCCATCTTGCTATTTTTCCACCTAACCCTCCCATCTCAGCAAGCTCTAAGCAATTTATTATTTCTATTGCAGCAAGACATAAGGACCTCATTACACTAGGCCCTGTGCAAAGATAATCCCTGTCCCAGAGAACTCAGGCTAACAAACAAAATCCAACAGGTTCATAAAAAGCCAGATGGGAGAGGGTTGGGGAGAACAAGATGCTAATAGAGGTGGCTGAGTATGCATAAATTAGTTGTAACACTGGTCTCACTAGGCACAAGGGGTTGCCACCCTAAACAATACCAGACAGTGATTTGCAGGCATTGCAGCAAAGACAGGTTGTGAGGAGGGATTTAAGAGGATACAGCAATAGCTTTGAATTCTCACAGGTAGCTCTTCTCAAGCAAAAGGGGCAGCCTGGAGAAAGCATGCAGTTGCTTGTGGGAAAAGTAGATGAGGGGATGGTCCCAAGGCCACCATCATAGGCCTAGCAACACCAGGAGGCAATGTTGAAAGGTAGGTTGGGGCTATCTGGTGAAGTTAGTGCCTGACGTGGAGCAGGGCAGGAGGGATGAAAAAGGAGGACTGGAAGTTGTACTCATCTGGTCCCACAGAGCCGCCTTCACTTACACAAAATCTGCTTGATCCTTAAGCTCAACCACAGGTTGGAAAAGAAGATTGCGTCTGCGCATACCTAGCAAACAAACGGAGTCCTCGGTGTTGGCAAACACTTTTCCTATAAACAATAACAACGCAATGTTATTTTCTTTGGGGGAGAATTACCCCTTTTCTTGTAATAAACAAATGGATGTAGGAGTGAGGTTCTGGTAAGATTCTTAATTTTGTTGTTACTGAAGTTTTAAAGTAAACGATAGCATCTGCATTAGTTGTTTAACAGTGTTAGGGGAAACCTCCACTGTGTTGTGGTTGATTAGTTATAATGATTAAGCAGTAAAGATGCAATGTACTTAACTACTAATCAAATAAGAGATGCAGCCTTAACTTCCAATTTAAAATTAGATTTATTATAGTCACTATTGCTTCATGAAACTGATGAAATAAATCCTAAAGAAGTCATATTACCTTCATCTGTGTCCCATGCAGCCACCAAGAAACAAAATGAAAAAAAGGAAGAATACATGTAACTATAAAACTATCCATTTCTATATGCATTAAAAAAACAGAGTTAGGCTAGCAAATCATAGAAAAACAGATCCAGGACAACCCTTGTTTAAGGTATCAAACTCTCTTCAGGAGCCATTTTCTTGTTACTGCCACCTAGAAACACATTAACAATATTCTATAACAAAGCCTGGGTAAGTTGGTAAGACGGGAAGAACTACATTATTCCATTACTGTATTTAAAGACTCCTCAAATGTGTTGAAGGACTAGAGAGGCTGGCTTTTCTGGAGTTAACACAAAAGGAAGAGAAAGATGGTAAATAGCCATAAATATTTCTGCACCTCTTCGGTATGTTTCTCTCAGTTTCTTTGAGATCCACTGTATAGCTTTTGCAGAGATTTTTGTCCCAAAGTTCCTGTCAAATGGGGAAGGTGCTCCACCCTGTCAAAGTTTAAATGTAATTAGAGATTAGTTGCAATTTTGCACCAACCAGAGCATTATTCTTGTTTTTCCATTCCACCAATCATCTCTGTTCTATGGCTGCTGTGCCTCTTTCATCCTCCTCTTTCCTTCCCTCCTTTCCCCCCATTTTTTTAAACACACACC